TTTTCTTGACCTGATGCTTAGTTCTCGAAACCTCTAGCAAGGGTGAAATATCTGCAGATTATATACAGCATTTTTTTCTGTGTGACCGCAACTCACGATTTTGGTAGAAAGAAGAGCACTCTTTGAGTGCACACAGTCATAGTGAAATTAAGCTTGATATTTCGATACCATTTAGATTTCCAGCAGGCTTGAAGCTTTTTCATTACATATAAGCAAGAGAACAAGGCATCTGTGACACTTTGGCCAAACCCAATGTTAAAATGGAACATGCAGGAAGCCACGGAAAACCTTCCAAATTTCAGTACATGATTATCCAGCTCATAAAGGCAGCACTGACAAAGGGGGTGGGGAGAGGAAGCATTTAGAGGTTTGAACCTAGAAAGTTTTCCTTGCGCTCATCTTCGTCACCCCAAGAATACAAAAACACTGCATCTATAACAGATCTCTGGTATAGCGAATATGCAACCGGTATTTTTCTGTCTTTTAAATATAACACTGACAGCATAAAAAGAAGTTGTGTGCAAACGTTGTTTTCCTCCTAGTCAAAGTAAATACAAGATAACCCAAACTGATCTCAGCATGCTTTGACCCAGCGATGCTGGCAGAGTCCTGCATATGCGTTCTGTAGCATTTTACATTAAAATCAGCATTAACCTTACACAAACTCAGTTTTGGGATACTTCTTCCTTCAAACAAAACAGGAAAACTTCATTGCTACTTAGTTGATTCCCTCTGAAAAGGGGAATTTCCTCTTCCAGTTCCCCCACTCAATGCTAAGATGATTCTCACCGACAACTAAGGGGCTGAACCGAGTCCTGCTGCGTGTCCCGCCTGTAAGCTGACCCACCATTTCAGGTTTTCCTCCTCGTTCTCCAATAATTCTTGCAATCCAAATACACCAATGTAGTTCAATATTCCTTCCTTTTATGAAGAAATTAAGACACTGAAAAAGCCCCGCAGACAATAAGTGCTTGGCTCAGGCGCTAGGGCTCTGCAGGGAAAAAGGTTACCACATCCGCTGTCCTGTAACCTCCGTCAGGTTGAGGCAAAAAACCTTCTGTTTAAACTCAAAGCTGACTTTCTGCAGTGAGAAGAGCTAGGAAGTGGTAGCACGAGCAGCTGAGTGACATACAAGAGAAATCCTGGGAAGACAGCTATCCTGCAGCCCTACAGTTTTACGTGATGCTAAACCACACGTGGCTGGGAAAACCACTTGTCCCAATAGCTTGTATTTTAAGAGTCCAAAGGCAGGGTTAAAAAAAGGAAAAAAAAGAAACAGATTCATTAAGATGATCCCACTCGCAGTTACCACTAGCTCTTCTGCAGCAGCAGCTGAGGACCAAGAGACGTCAAAACAAGGCATAAATTTAAATTGACTGAAGACGTATTGACATCCATCTGTGATAGCTCCCCATTTAGGTGCTGGCAGGACTTGAGTAAGACCTGAGGGAAGAAGACTAGGAAAATTGCTTCTAGGCAACAATAGCAGTTTTTTATTGGGTCTGGGCTCTGCCCCTTTCCCAGCCAGTGCCCAACATGTCTGGGTTTGCTTGCAGTCTTGCAGACCATTGGAAGACCCACTTGTAAGCGCCTTAGTAGGAAAGATTAATAGTAGTTTTGTTTGTTTGTTTTTCAGGGAAACGACTTCTCCCAAAAAAACAAAAAAACAAAAAAACCCCCAAAACCCAAGACACCTGCAACAATCCTGCCACCCACCTTCACATCTCCCTTAAATGAAAAGGCAGTGACTAACAAAGGAATCCTTTCACCAAAATGTTTGCTAAACATTTAAGCATGATTTTATTTAGATTACAAGAAACAGCTCTATCATATTTGCTCAAATGGGATTTCATAATCCCACAAATATTTCAGCTCCTTCCAGGAAGCACATGGAAAAGCTGCTTTTGCGTGTGCGCGTCTGCGCGTGTGCGTGGTTTTCTAAACAACACACACACACACGAGCATCACATTCTGACACACAGATAACTCTGGCAGGGCGTTTTTACCTTTTCTAGGCATGCACAGGCAGGGACTAGCTGAAGCGGCCCGAGCACGCTTCCTGCCGTTGCACAGCGCACACGCGCTGCGCCGTCCCCGCTCTGCCCCATTCAGAAAAAAGCTCGCGGCTCCTGGGAAACGCGCCCAGCAGGCATCGCAGCACCAGTACTCACAGGGCCAAGCTGCAAGGCTGCCGGGGAACTGCCTGCGCCGAGGGTGTTTGCACCGGTGTAGCCGCGAGAAACATCGTCTTTAAGAGAGACACGGGTGCACCCGTGCCGCTGTGCTCTGCGACAGCCAGGCTAATTTGGCTGCGCTGCGCTGGGCGGCAAGATGAGGGTTTTGTCCGTCTCCCCCTCGCTGGTTATGGCCCCCGCGCTATAAAACCAGCTGTGCGCGGCCGGCTGGGAACGGAGGGCCCCAGGGCAACGACTGCAATTCGGCGAGCACAACCTCCCCGTCGGCCGCCGGCGTTTCCAGGAGCGCCTACGCCAGCGGGGCAACCCTCCCCTTCGCCACCGCTGCCTGCAAGTTCGGACCTGGCCCTTCCTACATACCGCTTAAATTGAACTTAAAACCGAAACGCACGCTTTCATGTCTGCGATGCATGCAGATATTCCCCTCCCACCCTGAAAATTTTAGCCTCCGGCTCAGTTTGCACTTAAAGTTTTGTTGGCAAAGCAAAGGTGGCAAAAAGCTGTGTGCTGAGGGCAACCGAGAAGTCCTCTTGCCAGCGCCGCTTACCTCATTCGGAGTCTCAGCTGCACGAAAACCGTTTGCAGCTAGTATCGCCCTTCCTTCGGCACGAGGCTTGCAACAGGGCTATCCCAACAGAGTCTTCTATACGTAGGTAAAACCCCAATAAATCGACTAACAGCTTTTTTAAGAAGGCAGGCAGCGAGTATGCTGAAGGACAAGCAGAGATCCGTTGATGGAGAAACCTCAGTTCCATGGATTTTAAGGGATTTCTCAAGAAATTAGCTTACTACCCAAACAGTACTGAATTAACATGAAATTCTGTAACAGCAGCTAGATTAGTTTACCCTTAGTGGCTGCGTTGAAGCATCTATGTGGAACATTGCTGAAACTGAGCTAGATGAAGAGCTATCAAAATCCACAGCAAAAGATGTTACAAAAATACTTGAAGATTGCTGTTTTGAAAAAACTGCATAGTCTTTACAGGCCAGTCTGTCCCAATTTCTCTTAGACAGCCACAGCACCATTAGGATACACGCAAAAGACAACTATTGGATGAGCAATGGTCCCTCTTGGTGTGGAGGAAAACTCCCAGTTCGCTGTGACCCTCCTTTCCAAGGGATTATTGAGCTAGCTTAGAACCAGTCTCATGTCAACGCTGCAGGGCAGCTTGTTTGCCAGTGACTGTAAATTAGCTAAAAAAAATAGATTTTCTTCAAAATTGTTTAATAGCTCAATTATGCGATAAATCATTATGGTTGTACACAACAGTACGTCTTGGAAAGTTTTAAGGAATAGCAACACAAAAAAAACCAGTTTAACATGATAATATATTTGAATGATTTACCCTGCAGCACATTAAATACGCATACAGGACAGACAAAAGTTGCACACTCAAGTCCTAGCATTTTTATGTAAGACTGCAATATAGTAACAGATTACAAGAAAAGCTAATTAATATTATCATTTACTGTAATGAGAAAGGAAGTTGTTATTGCATGACAGATGGTATTTGTTTTATATCGCATGCAAGATAAGCAAAAAGTGCATATCCAGTCAAACAGGTAGTTGCATGAGATCTGCATGCTGAATTGGTTTAAAAAAAAAACAGTTTCATCCTAATTTTTTTTCTAACATATACTGATGTGAAACACTCTATTATAGTCATCCTATGCAAGCTAATGAAAGCTGATATTTGGCAAAAATCAGGAATAAAGCACAGCAACTACATTCCAGCTTTACAGCAAGTTTTATCCCTCTCCTGACTGTGCAAAATGGGACTAGAGATTTGATACCGCTTGCCAAAAATTTCAGAGGAACGTCATGGAGAAATCCATTCAACTGATTCACGGGCCTGTGCCGTTCCCGCACGGCCCTTCTCGCCAGCCGGTGAGCTCGTGCTTGTCGCCTGCCGGCTCTCGCCCTGCCCGGGGTGATGCCAAGCTCGGCAGCCAGGTGAGCTACGCCATCGCTCCCACCCGTCTTTCTGCTTCTCAGATTAAGAGCTACAGGTCCTAACGCAGCTATGTTACGGTGCGAGTGCAAATAACGCAACTAACGCAATAAGGAGCAATACCTGATACTCCAGAACATGACAATACGGTATATTATATACACATGCACACACAGGCAACATTCCTAAAAAACTCAAAGTTTACAAGGTAAAACTAAAAAAAAAAAAACAAAAAAAAGACACAAAAGGAACCCCTCAAAGCTTGCCCACCCTAAGCAATTTGCTTTTTTTTTTTCTTTCTGCTCCATTTTGATGAGTGAAGAACGCAACTGTATTTCTCCCCCGGTAAACATCTTCAGCGACATGTCTGATACAACTCCAAAGACCGAAAGGTGATGATATTTTGCAAAGGCAAAAAGGTCTATACAATTCAACTCAAGCTGAATCTGTTTCACAAAAGTCAGGGGTGGGGGGGGGTGGGAGAAGCATGATAACTACGCTCTAAATCTCAAGTGTTTTCATCTTTTGCCAAGCAAATGCATTAAAAAAAAATGCATTTCTAATTATATCAAAACCAGCATGCACATTCAGATTGCCTTCCACCTCTCTTCAATCCCCCCCACGCTCACAAACGCACACAAATAACCGTCCCTATCGAGGGACAGCAACCAAGGGACATTGCTTCCCAGGCAGCATCTATTTTCCAAGCAGTACTTAAGAAAGGGTGCACATTAAAACCACTACTTTTGGGAAAAAAAAAAAAAAACATGCAACCATACCAGAAAGCGGCAAGCACTCTTCCTTCCACCATCTACCTTCAAACTTTCTCGTACAGCAAAAAGAGCCCACGTACCTGCTAGGGGATGCCATTTCCTCTACATTTTGTCCCCGGATTGCTCTGCCTTACCATTATTGCCACTACAAACCTCCCGATAAAATGGATCGTCTTTTGCTGACCTGAGTACCAGCTGGCTGCTGAAAAGTGGCTTCCCCCCATGGATGATTCAGTCTCCTTGACGGATATACTGCATTGTACGGCATGAGTCATCCCCCAGTTATTCTGCATATTACAGGCCTGGCGGATCATTACTCATTTTCAACATCCTCCTTCTCTGAACACAGGCACACGAACTGACCAAAGATCCCCGCTTCCCCACCCTGCTTATAGGCTTACAAATATATATATATATTATAACTGCCATAAACTCATAACGCAGCTATTTAAAAATGGCTCTCCAAGAAACCACGCTGCTACAGCCAGCGGAAGTTGCATCAAATCCTCAGTTATATCGCAGTTATATCAGCCGGCGCTGCAAACGGGTTCAAAGTTGAGAGCAGGTGTAATCTCTCGGGTAACCCCGGCTGCACTTTACTCCAGGGAAGTTGCTAGCGCAGCGTTCCCAGCGCATTGAGCCTGCACCCGGAGTTCAAACAGCTCCGTAGTCTGCAAGAAGCACTCAAACCTCCCAGAAAGCCTGTCTACGTTACGCATTTTAATAGGGGTTTAAATACTTGCAGTGCGCCTCGCGACCGGGCTAGCGAACGCGCATACTACATCTGCAAGGATCAGGGAGAGCTCCTCACCCAAAAGCTGGAATTAGCATAAGGTCAAGGCATGGGCAAGCTCAGGGCATCCCCCTGAAGTTGCTATCCGGATGGACGCTATTCCTGGTGCTTTTAGGTCTTAAACATCATATTGTATGGACACAGTGAGGTACGTATATACGTACACTCGGAAATGGCACACACAACCCAAGCGACCCGTGAAGCATTGATAGAGAGAAGTCCTTAGGCACCTACTTCGCTTCAGGCAGTAGGTCTCACTATTTAAAAGATTTTCACAACTGCTCTCATTAACTATGTACCCACTCAGCTCCTCCTCCCCAAGGTGTATGATCTTCCCTAAATTCCCTCCCCGTTTTTAAAGCAAAAACATCGCCTTAGCACAAACAGCAAGAACGCAATTGTGGCACTGCGACTCTGAGAACAAAACTTCTAAAAATACTTGCCCAGTTTCTGAACTACTTTACACTGATGATTAAACCAGAGGGGGGAAGAAAGCCAATTTTGGTGCTTATAGGCTTAGCTGCTTTGGGTTTCTCAAATCCTAACCGTTTAAAATACATTTGAGGGGCAAAAATCACTTTTTCTCAGGACTGGGAAAAGTGGCTGAAGTCACACTGCACAAAAGTTTCCTTTAGGAAAATAGGATGCCGAGGAGGGAAGGAAGCACAATTTTACGGACACCATATCCACCAAATCACGTACGTTCCTGAAAACGCCAAGTTTGAACCACTGAAATACCGAGCCTGAAACCACTGAGGCTTGAACTCTGTTTCAATGCGTGGACGAAAGCTTTCACAAAGGGCAAACGAAAAAGCCAGGACCACGATGAGAAACCAGGGAGCAAGTCTGGAGAGAAGCAGCATTTGCTTCATTCTCCACCACAGTATCCTGCGAGCTGTAGGACTGGCTGTAGCTGGAGGGACCTATTCACAACTCGGTTGTGTTTTGTAGCAAGGATGGAATTCAGCTATAGCCCAAAGCCTCGCTCAAGTCAGGAGACGGCATTTTAAGTTTGTCAGAGGGGGATCAAGCGACAGCTGTGTTTACCCTCCTTCAAGTTCAATACGCAACATAAAAAGGCCCTTAATTTAATGTGCAACTGGTACTATGCTTCGGTGGAAACATAAATTTGGGATCACTGGGCAACTCACTAGCTGGTCAGTGTACCTTGATATCCAAGCAGTCAATTAGCTCCACTTCATAGCCAGTCCTACTAGTATGTACAAGGATACAACTTGCTACCCTACTTTCCTCTTTAAGCTCTGTAGCAGCACTGCTTTTATTGTCAAATTCTCATACAGTCCTCTGCTGTCTGTAGCAAGAAGGGAGCAAACAAGTCCAAAGCATGTCAGCCAGGAAAGTCACATACAGATACCTAGCCCATTTTGCTGCAAGTCCAGTTTCTAGAGTTCTTCTCCCGAGGGAAGATGAAACTAGGCTCCTAGCATAGACAACTGTCTTTGACTCAACCCTGTTGCAATCACATCTTGAAAACACAGCTTAAGCGTCTACACCTCTCCAAAGCCTGCCCATTTTCTTGCCTTCCCACTGCTCCATGGACTGGTCCATTAAGAGACACTACCTTGTACCAAACTCAAAATCCAGGCTGTGGCTAGGGCACGGGTGACCCAGGACGGAGCGGTAGCATAAGGTGGCTCATGGAAACTGGTATCAGTGCTGTCTGTCACGCTGGAGACATCAAGGCAGGTCAACACCGAAAGGCACAGTGGGGAAAGTTCACACACTGTTTTATAGCGCACTCGCTGCTGCTTGGTAACTGCTCACACAGGTGGCTTAGGCCAAGACTTGGACTTTTTGGGGCAAAGTTGCTTGTTTTACTGCTGTGCCAGGACCAGGGGAAGCTAAGGAGAAAAGCTTTGCTTGCACATGTGAAAAACACAGCACACAAAGAAGCTCTTCTAAGTGTTACAGAGCGCTTGGTCCATGTGGGAAACGGCTGAAGGAGCTCACGCCCTGGCTTTCTGTCCCTACCAAGACATTAGCGCATGAGCCCACCAATCGAAAAGAAGCAGAACTACCCAATTTATTTCGCCTCAAGTCCAACTCCCAAACGTCTTCTCCAAAAGGAAGCCGATATCAAGTCACAGGATATTTGTAAGCATCAACTGAATCACTGGCCGGGTTCTCATTTTGTCAAAGGTTCTTTAAACTTCAGGCTGTGCTAACAAACTTCAGCTCCCAGTTTGGCAATCCTGCTGCAGTTTGATTTTTTTATTTAAATCCTGCCCTGCCCAAGCCTGCTGTAGCACACCAACCTCTGCTAGCTTGGTGCTACACGAAACATCCTCCAGTACTTCTGAGTATTTCCTGCGAGTGACTGTGCTATACAGGAACATTTTCCCCAGCGTCAAGTGGGATACAGACTGCTGCAAGGTTTTGCTCTTTGAAAATTCAAGTGCGCTTTGCAACTGAAGAGCCAACATGGCGGTGTATCTACTGTCCACTGGCCAGCTCTAAGGAAAGAGCTGAGAGCGGGGTCTGAGCAAGAGGAGCCGATTTCTACTCTAGCTGTGGGAGTAGTTGCCGTTAAGGGAACGAGAGCCCATCGCCCCCTTTATGTTAGTCATTTTAACAGGCTGAACTTCAACAGCACAACATGAACGTGTTCATGGCAGGACCAATAGCTTGGGGAACCATGCAAAAAAGACGTGACAGCACACCATTTCAGCCCAGCCTAGGCTTCAAGTATCCCCCGTCTGAGGTCTGTATTCGGCATGGCGAAACTCGTAACGCCGCATCTTCCGGGAGCACCATGCGAGCTACGTTAACGCTATCTTAGTTGCAGGCTTCAGGATTCCCTATAGCAGTACTGCTAGAGCTGAAGCATAGCGACAAACGTCGCTTATTGTGCCTTCTGAGGGGAGAAGATGGTTGTTTTTCTCTGTGTTTGATTTAGCTGGAAAAAAGGAAAAAAAAAAAGAAAAAGACTTTATAGACATGGTCCGTCCAGCTTTTCTGACTAGCGTTTCAGAGCTGCTGGTTCCATTCACACCGTCCTCGTTGCCCACAATGTTTTCTTGAACGCAGCCACGTTGCAGGGAAGAGATGAGACCACAGCAAAAATGGGAGAAAGGGTATAAAAGCTGATCCTCAGGAATGATTTCAGCCATTTTATGCTGTGCTTGGGGCTGCTGAAAACCTCACCACTGGGCACTCAGAGGAGCACTGAAATCCCCCTCCTTCCCTACGACGTACCTTGCTTTCCCTTTTTTCCTCCACAAACGAGGAGTAAGGCTCGACTGTGCTGTACCCCTCCGCCAGCGCAAAACACAAGACACTGTTAAAAAAGTTCAGCTAAATAGCTCTTCTTTCAGATGTAGCACAGCAAATCCCTTACATGCATTAAATGGTAAGTCTCACACACAATTTCCAAATGCAGTCAAGGGATCTACTGGGCCACAAATGGGCTGTAAGGGGCAGGGCTGGAGCATTTCTGGAAAAATAGAAAAAATTGCGGTATTTAATCTGCTGTAGCCACCACCTGACCAGAAATAGTCAGGATCCTTCCCTTTTTCTTTTTACATTTGGTTTCAGGAAGCTGCAAACCAGCAGCAAGGTGGGCGAGTCGTGCTGTCCACAGCTCCCACAGCTCCCAGTGACCGTGCCTGGCAGCTACTGCCTTCCAGCCCAAGGGCTCCGTTACGAAGCTATCACCCGAGCGTGGACTACTGCACTCACTGTAGGTCCTTACATATATCTGAGCACAATTCTAGGTCTTGCTGGAGGTGAAATCCTTTTATAAAATAAGGAGATGCTAAACCAGCAACGCACATGGGAGGCAACATTTCTTTGCCATTTCAAACTGTGCAAACCAAGGCATTTCTCTATATATCACTTCAGAAAGGCCAACTCAGTATGACTGACAACTTGTAACAACCGTTTTTCTTTTTGGGGTGTTTTAAAGTGTAGCCCTTTGGCAGACAAGTGGCTTTTATAGTTGAATGAACCTTTGTACATATGGATGACAGTAAAAACTAATCCCAGCATAGATGGGTATTTCCGAGCATGCAGCAAGGTTCCTGGTGGAGGCCATGTGGATTTAATTTTCCTGCAGTCAGATCAAAGGAAAGGCACCGAGAGCGCCTTACCAGCTTCCAAAGAAACATCCACTAACATAAGGGATGCTACCCGAATGACAGACGCCAAGGCCCTCGGCACCGAAAGAGCCTCGTGTGCTTTTCTCCTAATTAAACTCTCCTTGTGTATTGCCTAATTGGTGTATGGACAAACAGCTGAAACACAACACAGGAAATCTAAAAATGTACTTTGCACACGTGTAATGTGGACTCTGCATTACGCTGGGGCAAGAGGGTGAATTTTGATTTTCTCCTCAGCTGTCGGTAAAAACACAAGACCCTTCTCCCTCCTTTTTTTACACTTAAATATTCAGTTCACATGATAACTTAGTTCAACGTTTTTCTTGCCCCGGTGTCGAAACCTCCTGGACTGCACCGACAGTAGCGCTCAACAGCCAGGCTAATGGCTTCTTTGAAGTCATCT